TTTTTGTTCTGCTCTTTCCGTCGTTATAACAAGATGTCGTTAAATATAGCGGTGTAACCAATATATTAAATGTCTTTGATACGGAATGATACTGAAATTATAACTTAATTGCTCACTTAATATTAAGGGAACATTTCAGTTCAAATCCAATCAATTTTTAATCTTGGAATACGCTCCATTTCTTGCGGACTTTTCATCATCTATTGCCATTTTACAGAATTGGGGCTGCGGTTTTATAATAACATCAGTTCATCAATATGTCGTGTGCAATAAATATTTACGTTACTGCTATTAATATTAATATCTTATTTAGCAATAGTTCCATCCCAACATTTTCAATTCCACAAGGCGAGGAGCTAGTTGCGAGTCATTTAATTGCGCCCATTTGTATGCGCCCAAGCTCCATTTGTGTTACGAATTACCATATATAGATCGGCCTACAAGATTCATTTATAAAGGAAAGAAAGGGAGCTGGAGGAACGCAAAAAGGACAATGATTACTAAATTAATTGCACTCAACATCATTACCATCCTCGCGTCGTTCGTTACGATACCTCCGATTCCACATGCGCCTTCACCCGACATCAAGAAACGAGAAGGCTATTATCAATACGTCTTCATCACATATAGTCCGGTCTTCACCCCGATCGGTCTGATTCTTAACGCACTCATCTACACCTGGATCATGATTTCTCCCGATCCGTATCCTTTCAACAAAGTCGAAAAGTTATCCGAATGGACGCTCACAGATATCGTTTGTTTCGTTATGATACTTGCCGGAGGCCTCCTTCGCGTCTGGTGTTTCCGAACGCTCGGGCGGTTCTTTACATTCGCAGTAGTCATCCAACCCGATCACAAACTCATCAAAGATCCTCCTTACTCTTTGGTGCGGCATCCGTCCTATACGGCTGCGCTTATGGTCTCGTTCGGACTTTTTGGCTTTTTTCATCCCTTAGGCAAAGCTCTGTTTGGTGAATATGGACGGATGATAACTGCGTTTCTGATTGTTACTATAGGTATTATGACCGTTCATTTCTTTTACAAGAGGGTGCAATTTGAGGAGCGTGAGATGGCTATGAAGTTCAAGGACGAGTGGGAAGAGTATGCGCGTACTCGATATAGGTTTATTCCTTACATTGTCTAACAAGAGATTCAGCAAAAAAGCGGG